CTTACCATTTGAACTCCTTGAAGGTAATTTTTCTTGATTTTTATCAAGAGTATTCTTAGATAACTTCAGTTATCTATGATGTAATTAACTATAGGGGTTTGCCCTTATAGGAAGCTTTTCTCGAATCCAATATAATATAAACCCTACTTAATTTCTTATATTAATTAGGGAACTTGTCGGCCAATACATTGGTTTCGCAGACCAAACGGATGTCATAACTTTCATTAGTTTATTTGATCGAGCCTCACCCTCAACTCTTGTGTTCATCCTTCGGGATAGATACAGGATTTGAGGTAAAGCGCTCTTTCATCTAAACTATGAAATTATGGGGTCAGTTTGACTTCATCTTTTTCAAAACGAAAGATTTTTTAAAAACGTTCTTCCGAAGCGAGCAACGAGATTTCAATTCCGATGACCGACAACTTCTTACGAGCAAACCCCACACCAAAAATAGTGCCGACAGTTGCTTTATTATTTGATCTATGTATGATACACTATCATGCTATACTTATTGAATTTTGGTATATACTTTTTAGGATTCATGTGACTACTCCTAAATTTACTTTTTCTTGCAGATACCTTTTTTTCAGTTTACGACCATAGCTTGTCACTCATGTTTTGGAAAAAAAAGCAAGTTTGGGTGCAAAATATGTACTTTTTTATAAACCTGAAAGTAATTCACATATCTCAGCAAATGAATAAATTTTAATAAGGTAACTCTCGTTCGGAATTCTAATTCATTCAACTCGCTTATCAAAAGTCATGTTAAAAAAGGATAAATAAAATTTATGAAAAATTAACCTTGATGTTTCAATATTGAGATTTTAGAACTAAACAACTTCTAGCTGTACATAAAAAATGTCAAGATAATTAAAAAGAGTAATTGAAATATTGAGTAGCAAACCAAAGGTATATTAAGTCTTTTTTTGGTTTTTTTTTTTTTTGAGCCAATTTATTCTTGTCTTAAGTTTGAATCGAAAAGAGAACATAAAGTTGAGATATTAAACAATCAATTTTTGAGGTTTATTTCTTAAAGAACGCTAACTTTCTTCATACTTAAAATAAAAGAAGAAAAATGTTGCCAACCAACCATAGTAATTCGCATATGAAAAAAAAGGAAAGAAAAGAAGAAAACGACGATAAAATAAATAAATAATCTTGAGATGATTTTTGAGGTTGACACATTAAAATTAAAAGAAAAAGGAAAATAAAGAGCATGTAATAGAACTTAAGGAAATAAAACTTTCTCATGACTAATGAAATATCTTTGTGGTTATCTTTAACGAAAATGTTAAGTAGTTTTAAGTTATTTTATTCAACTGAAATCATTTTAAAAACATTCATGACTAAGGAAGATATTTAAAATAATACCAATTTAAGAATCTCTGTGATTTTCTAAAGGCAGAACGAAAAGAATTAAAGAGAAAATCATGTTTTTGATCATTAAGAATAACTGACACCTAAATGACATTTAAAACACTTTTATTTGCCTTTGAATAACACGTTGGATAGTTTAGAAACCTAAAGGAGTACCTATTTTTCTCATGGGGCTCCAACAAAGCAATGAGATTGATTGAGGAGAAGTAATGAGGTAAGTTTGGGGGTATTGACATGAGTCAATTTTACATGATTTCACTAGTTTTTTATTTTACATTTTACCTGTTATTTTTACAAAATTTTCACACATTTACACTTATGGAAGGATTTTGTTAATGTTGTGCAGGTTACAAGAGTTGAATATGAGCATTTCTGAGTGAGAAAAACCCTCATAAAATCGTCTTAAAGCAGTGTGACCATGTTTGGAAGAGGCATGAACATGCCAAGGTATTGACACCAACAGCATGACTAAGCCAGATTCATAGAAAGGCGGTGTGACCACATCGTCTGATTTAGAAGCTTAGTGTGACCATGCCACTTTTCGGCATGACCACGCCAACAGAGTGAGAAATTATTTTGACAAAAAACTTTCTTACAAAATTTATGGATTAATCAATAAAAATGTTCCTTAGGGTATCTTTTAGGAGGGGAGAGACTTGAAGATGGTTGGAAATAAAAAAGAGAGGACTTTATAGCGTTTTTCCTTATGATTAACTTCTTATCTTGGGGTCGAGATGCTAAGAGTTTTTCCTACCTTTTACTTTGTAATTCCTTATATATTCTGAGAGGGTTATTGTATGAGAAAGGAGTTGGTCATTTTGGAAGAGGGGAACAAATTACTTTTGTAAGTTTTACTTGTCAATTTTACTTGCAATGATGATTTCAATGAAATTATTTTTCCTTTGCTTTTTCTAACATGAATAGCAAAATTTCCTTTCACGGCTTTGTGATTCATTATATGTGATTTTTGTGATTTTCTTGGATGGTTTCTTTTCCTATATTATTTTTCTATTGAATCAGAGCTTTTTTGTTGTTGTGTTAACCATATAGTTTCATTTACTCCTGAGTTGTCCAATTAAGATGTTTATATATTTCATGATCTATGAGTCCTGCCGATTGCACAGAGGAATGAAATGATTAATAAAAAAATTTGGGTAAAAATAAGCATATTTTATCTTGGTTTTTCAACCTAGGAAAGGGATTAAAACAAATATGTAGGATGCTATAGGGATTGAGGGAGCCTCAACATCATAAAATCTAGTCTTCTTTTGACATAGGCATAAGCATAAGGACTTTTTAGTCCTAATAATAACTATTATGTAAAGGAAAGCCTAGGAAAACTATGAACCACCAAATTACGTAAAAACCTGGGACGCTAGGTTTTTATAAATTGAAGAACAATAAGTTGTATCTAACATTGTTTTCTATTTTTTTCAAAATTTTTATATTTTATTTTAGTTTTTGAGTAGAATTTTAGAAAATATCCGACATTTCTTTTTTCAGGGATAAATAGTTGGCAATCGGACAAGCGCAGCAGACCAACAAAGCCAAGTCGAACAAGTTAAGTCTCCAAGCCCCGAAGAACATAAAGGACCTACTAGCAACCCTGATTCAATAGCGTGAGACAGACAAATCTTGTTGAATAAGGATCAACTAAGCATGGCCAACCAAGTTAGAAGATGGCTTAGTCAAAAAGCATATATATATATATATATATATATATATTTATGCAAATACCTAAAAAATCTTGTAAGGCCTCCATTAAAGTAGGGGGAAACATGTAATTTCATATGTTGTGCCTCCTCGTTTATAAATAGCGAGATTTTTTTAAGACTAATCAACAATTCAAATACTATTCATTATTGTTCATTCGTATCTCTCTCTCTCTCTCTCTCTCCCCCTCTCCCTCTCCTGTCTTACACACTATTCCTTGAGTGTGATTTACAGACAAATCACAATTCATCATTCATGTATTCTATATCAAATAAATTTTCTAAATATGATTTTCTTCACATCAAATATGGCCCTATTGAAGCCTTCAAAGCCTATAGAATGTTCTCGTCTTGTATTCTCCATGATAACACATCTCAGTAAGAACACGCTCATGTGCATAGACTGCAGAGAAAGACAGGTGTATCAAAATAGACAATACCTCCTCTATTTTTCAAACATCAATCTTCAACATTCTTAAAAAAAGGAAGATTTGCACACCCACATCAACATCACTTCCCACGTGGCACACCATACACTGGCGTTATGGCTTCTCATGTGAAAGTAGCAAGAGACTTGCCATTTCAAAAATAAGGAAGGAGACTTAGAGGCAGCAAAATTATTGACATCTGCACCCATAGGGCTTTGTCACACTTAGCTAAATTGACCTTTTTTTTTGGTCATTTAAACGCCTTTGAATGAAATAAGCATTTTAGTCAATGAAATACATACGTGCCAAATTAAAATATATGGACCAAATGAAGAACATGCATCTACATTAAATATTAAAAGGAAGGAATGGATACTTTCTCCTTTCCTGTACTTGGAGATAATTTATTACAAGATACAAAAGCCTCTATATATTCTTATAATGCGGCATGAGAGCCCCACGTAGATGCCCCCACCATAAAAACGAGGGAAATAGAAAGAAGGAAGTAGTTACATCAAACTAGAAAGTTTTCTATCCATGCACAGTGAGTAGGTGAGTATTTTTGACATTATACACGCATCAATATATATTTAATTTCTATTTACACCCACCCTATGCTCAGCCTTTAGAGAATTTCGCCTCCACTCAACCAAACGTCGCAAGAATTCCTTCACCTGTGAAAAGTATGGCTAAATATTAATATAGATTAAACTAATTAACTTCTGCTCAAAATGTGGAGATAAGAATATAATTGATCCTACAAAAATGTTGATTTAAATTGGTTTATGCTAAACATGAACGGTTTTGATTCATTATGTATCAGCTTGTAAGATCTAATTCGTTGTAATAGTTTTGTTGAACTAATTGAAAGAAGAAAATGACGATTCCAACTAAACAAATTAGTATATCCTGTAATTTTTTTTTTTAATTTCAGAGCATAGCCATCATATATTTTTTGTTTAGGCTTTGGATAATATTTTATTATTGGGGTGTTTACATACAGCACCCAATTCTAACAAATTTACTTAGCTAACACCTAAGCTTTACATTGTGCATTTATAGCATCCAAATCCTTCATATCACATCAAAGACATCACAAATTTAACTTAGAAAACTAAAAACATCTTTTTTGCATAAATAAGGCGGAGTGTATTAAAAGATTGTACATAAAAGTCATGCATACGTAAAACATCATTAATTTTCTTAAAGTTTGTTTGGGGCAATGACAACTATTTGAAGAAGCAACTGTGAATCTGCCGAAGAAAAAACTGTTGTTTAAAAAGCTATAGTGACTATTACATAAAAAATAATACAGACAAAACACAATTTTGTCAAACAGAAAAAACTGTGACGAGGCACCGCACCCGCCACTGCATAACCGCCCCAAATGCAATTTAGTTTCAAGTCGATTAAAACCGAGCCGTGAATATTCAGCTCTAAATGCTTAACTTCATTTTTTTTATATCTATTTGAATTTTTTCACTTTACCATTATTAAATTGATTTAGTTGATTATAGCTTATACTTAAGTTAAAGTCGAACACGGCCATCAATAACGTTAAGCGATTGGAATTTGAAAAAGAAAGTAATACTTGCCTCGGAAGGCTCCTTAAGGGTGTAAGTGGCGCATGTCTCCTTCGGAAATTTGGAAACCAAAATACCAAATCCCTGTCCACGATCGCGCAACACCTAATTACATAATTAATTAGAGGAATAATCGTTACACGTCAACATCGAAAGAGACTAATTAAATTGTTAGTCATATTGCAATACATTTTAATTTAATGTATATGAGAATGAAACTTATATCTTATGGAGGTTTCGATCCGCCCATTTAATACCTCATTAATATATTCAATTAAAAAAAATTAAATATATTACATATCAAATAAGTAAAATATAAATAAAAAAAAATATAAAGCATACATTAGATGATTTTGAATATTAAAATTTTAAAATCATACATGAATTATGGATGTAAAATTATTACTTTATTGTATTATATATTGTTATTATTATTATATTTTATTACTTTAGAGTATTTAGAGTACGATCATTAAACCATGGCACACCTTGAAAGCATCCTCATCCGTTCGATCATCTCCAATATACACCGGAAGGATATCGTTGCAGTCGGCAAATCCTGAAGCCCGAAAATAAATGGAATTAAAATTAAATTAAAGTCCCATTTTTTTTTTTCAATACAATTATTTTTAATAATTAAAATAAAATTTATTTTTAATAAATGGAAGTGGTGATGAGACGTAAGCTTACCAAGCTCTTCCAGCAAGTACTCAAGGGCTTTCCCTTTGTCCCACTCAATTGTGGGCCGAATCTCCAACACCTATTGAGTTAATTAATTAATGGTTATAATAGAGCCAATATTACTAAATTTCACACTAGCTTAAAGACAACTAATCGGCTATTCTTCATTTATGTGCATTTGGTCAAGCTTAATTTTAATTTTTCATCTTTCTATAATTAATACATTAAAGTTCTGTTCAGAATCCAAGCAAAGTGATCTAAAATTTTCTTGATTGATCCAGTATGACGAAATCAAAAATTGATTTTGATCCATTTTATAGAACAAATTACAAAATAACTTTAAGAAGTTAAAATTTCTTAGGAATTTTAGATTATAAAACGTAATTCTACATTTAGGGTATGTTTGGGGCAGTTTATTTGGTGCGGTAGTGTTTTGAAAACTCACCAAGACTGTTTGGGTAAATTGCATTTTGGCTACTTATTATTCAATAAGTTGCAATTGCCCCAAACAAACTTAATCTGGTTCGAATGTGTGGAAATGCAGCAAAATTTAGTCAAATAAAATGAAGCAAATATAATTTTTTTGTTCATGAAAATTAACAAATCTGTTTTGCCATACTAAATCAAACAAACTAAAGAATGTCAATATCTACTGATGCAATTTTTGGTTTTGTCCACTAAATTAATGCACATCCTAATCATTATTAACAAAAAAAGAGTGATGGAAACTTTTTAAACAACATAATATGTCACTTTACAGTGCAAAGTAGTAGTTAACTTATGAATTTGGCGAACGGCATACCTTTCTTCCTTGAGTTAACTTTAAATTTGGGTATGCTGTTAGCACAGATCGGACTTCCTCAGCAAGGCCATTCCAACGCTATAAATAAATAATTTAATAATTAAATAAATAAAGGAAAATGATGTTATGCATTCAAGCATTTAGCTTGTTCAAAGATCTGCACCTTTTCTTCTACACAGCGAAAGTGAACTGACAAACAGAATCTGTTGTTCTCCAGTTTAGCTCCAGGAACCAACTTTATTTTCTCCGAAAGTACATTATAAGCCTATTTAAGCCAGGAAAATCAATGAAAAATAAAATTAGGATGATAAATAGCTTTTTATATATATATATATATATATATTTGGTGAAACTTACTTCATTAATGACCGGTAAAAAAGCACTGGCTGGCTGACACAGCACCGCCTTAGCCTAAAAAAATACAAATTAAAAAAAAATGTTATTAAATTAAAAATAAAAAATAATAAAAATAAATGTTGTATTAATATTGGCATATTAAGCTCTGACTCAATGACTGCCAACCTGAGCATTTGTATGCTTGGGCCACTTGGCGGGTCCTTTGATATCCATACCATGGCTTCCTGCATAGTACAACTCCGCCAATTGCACGAAACCAAACACCTGCACAGCAATTAAATAATCTTTCATGTAATTAAAATTTGAAGCTAAAATCTCCATAAGAAACACCGTCATTCAGAATATACGAGACTATTTTGGCATAATCACATATATAATCGCTGTCCAAAATATTGTTAGATAAACATTACTAATTATGCAATATTCGAATCCTTAATCCTTTAAGTTTAAAATGACTAATGCCAACCTTGCTCAATTTGTTATTTTAAGAACAAGTGCTTCATTGTTTAATGTAGACTGGTAATCTCTTAATACATAAAATTAAGTGTGCGATAAAATTATAATATATGACAGAGAAAAGTGTAAACTTCTTAGAAGAAAATTAGATTTCATAAATGTATAGTTCCTTAAATAGTAGTAGGAGAATACAAACAGGACTTCAACCATGTACCTTATCTCGACACCTTCCGCTCACAATAGCAGTTGGGAAACACTTGGCTAAACTCTTCACCGCCGCCCGCATCTGAATCAAAACAAAACCCAAACCCCAAAATGACACTTTGTTAGTAACCCACTCTTTAAAAACAGAGGAGAAAAACTCAAACTAAAACAGAGTTTCATATTTAGAAATCTGTAAAGATGCTTACAGACTCAGACATAAAGGCTGAATCAGGATCTTCAACGATGGGAGACAGAGTACCGTCATAATCAAGAAACATTACTATCTTCTTCCCCTTTGCCGCCGCAGTTATGTCGTCGAACCGGCTCAACGCTGATGGATGCTTTCTCTGTTTCAAATTCTCATAAATGTAAGAGATTTACATTTTAAGAATAAAATTTTGACACCGGATAAGCGGAATGCTTACGTTCCAATCGTTTTCATCTCTTTCCGATTGGGAGTTGGGCAGGAAAGGGACCGACTTTGCATGAGTCGGAGAGGAGGCTTTAATGGTTTCCATCCAAGATGAGGTCTTTCCTCCATTTCCATGGAGTTCGAGATTAGTAAGCAGATTCTTATAGTTTGCATTAGAGTGACAGCGAGGTGGCGGGAAGGAGCCTGGTTGCTGTGTTGATGATACTGTCTCAGGAGGCAGGACAGGAACGGGGACAAGCATCTCTTCGGGAACCACAGTGCTTAGCTTAGTCATGGCTACGAGAGAGCAGAAAGCAGAGAGAGGAATGAAGGAAGGAAGATAAAGTGAAGGAAATAGAGGAATTGGGCAAGTTGTTTCTGGTCAGTGATGGGGTGGAGAAGAAGAGTTGAGGGGTGGTGCGAAGGCGGGGGGAGGTGCTGAATTCGGCATTCAACGGAAAGTGATGGAAACAGACGCAACGACAATGGAAGCCTTCTTTTATGCGTTAAAATAATTGGCCGCAGATGGGCCCGCCCGTAAAGGACTATGGGGTCACGTGGGGCTTTCCGAGCACTGTAAATAAATAAAAAAAAATCCTTTCGTAAAATGGAAATAAAAAATATTTCTTAAAAATGTTAAATTTTGCATTATGAAAATTAAATTATTCCGTATAAAAAAGATATTAAGAAAATTTTTGCTTAGGAATAAAATTATGGTCAAATATAAATTTACTTTGAAAAAAAATAAATTTATTTAATAATTTATCTGTTAATAATTATATATATTACTTTTCAATAATTTATCTGATTATATTTTTTATACATATTAATTTTAATGCTCTTTGATATATGTATATAATGGGAGCTTGGTACTAGGTGGACCTTGAGGGCTGCTGCTGCCACTTGCAGGCACACGTGCGACAATGCTGCTCTGTCAAGAGGTGGGAGGTGGATGCAAATTATTCTTCTTTTTCTTCTAATTTAGGTGGAATTACAGATTGGTAAAAATTCTTTTGGTCATGTTAAGAATTTTATTCTGAAAAGGTAAGTTAGGAATTTTAGTTTTGCAAAAAACAATTCGGACCGTTGGAAAGGTGAAGCTGCCCCGGGAGCCGTGGACTGGCAGAAAGCCGGGCATGCAAAACGGGGTGCCCCAATTATTTTGTAGGAATCGTTCACAGATATCTCCTTTTTTTTTTTTTCTACATTTTAATTTAAAATAAAATATATTTTTTTGTATATGAATAAGTGAGTGCCATGGGACCGTAATGAAATAAGTGGGCCTTTTTGGACCAAGTCACCACTAATTGAACTCTTGAGGATGACATGATTGAGAGCCCATTAGTAAACACAATCCACATATTTTTGATCCAGGAGATCTCTTAGGACTATAAGTCAACTACCCGCTGAATTAATCGGTTGGGCTGAGCTATCGGGTTAAGCTGGTGAACTGACCTAGCAAATTCGATTCCTTATACACCATCTCCGTCAATCGCCGATCACGTACCCAAGAGGCAAGATGCTTCTCAGATTTGTTTGTTGAGTGTCCTAACCAATGGTGCTCGAGATTGACAAATAGACAAAGTAAAGATCAACATTGAAGGGTTGACATACATGCCATCTTCTTGAGCCACTTGATATCCACCATGTTGACTCCCAAATTGTTTTTTAGTAATACATGCCTCGAGAGTGAGACGAGAGGAGGAGAGAGAGAGTAGAGTAGTTAGAGAATCCCATATAGAGAAGTCGGGTAAAAAGTCTCTTTATTCATTTTATGACCTCCCTTTTTATAGGGATGTAACTTTACAATTACAGAAAGAAGGAAATAGTTATGGAAATCGCTCTTAAGGTAATTAATGAGCGGATTTAATAGTAGATTTGAATTAATATTTTAATGGAATATGGTGGCTATATGGCGTATTTATTGAGTGGATTTAATACTTGATTTTAATGGATTTAATCCTCCAATGGTTGAGTCAGAGAGGGTATGTCTGGACTAAGGCCTTGAAAGTCCTGTTTATAAAACACTTTCATAATGTTAGTTGTATAAAATGATAATTAAATAAGTAATAAAGGATTGGTGTGACACTTATCCTTTTATGACACCTCTTTTTACACATCTGCCCTATAAATAGGGTGAGAGAGCGATATTTACCTTCATGCATTTCATTTTTTTTCTTTGTTTCCTCGGCCTCTCTTATCCTATCTTATTCTAGAATCATTTTGCTCCTTGGGATGGCTCCCAAATATTCTCCCACCCTTTTTGGCTTTGTTCAGGGTGTCGATCATTCCTTCTTGATAAATAATGACATGAAGGAGTTATAGAAAAAAAAAATGGCAATGACGTGGTCCTCAGGTGGATGTCGCGATCAGTGCAGGCGACAAATGATCTGAGTAAGCATCTAGTGTTTTATTGGGACCAAGTCAAGTATGGTCTCCAGTTGCCCCTGTGTGATGAGCTTTGGAGCATTTTCAACGTGTACAAGGTCATTCTGGCACAAGTGTTGTCAAACTCCATAGCCGTGATAACGACCTTCATTCTTTTCTGTAGTCTTGAGCACGTCTCGTGGTCAATTGACATGTTTAGCCACTTTTATTCATTCAAGATTGACAAGGAGGCCTTTGCTAGATTTTTGACTAGCATGAAAATCCATCTGCTTGGGGTTGAAAATAAGATAAAAGATTGGAAGAAAAAGTTTCTAGTCAGTTTCAACTTCAGCGACTCGGGTGTTCGGAGCAAGCCGTCAGAGCCAAGGGGTGACGAGGTGAAGTCCCTTCCGGTGGATATGCATGTTGCTGAGGCGATGTTGATCTATCACCATCTCTCAGTTTTAAAGTACATTACTGAGTCGACAGCCACCCGGGCATTAAAGAGTGAGATGACCAAGGATCGATGGCGCCATTCAAACCTTGGCGAGGCGGTCCAAGCCCAGGTGTTGAAGGAGAAGCTGGTCGCCGTAAAGCAATGAAAGTACAACATCCCCCAAAACCAGGTAACTCTGTTGAAGATGAGGACCCACTTGTTAGTATTGTGGACTCCAAATATATTTCCTTAGTGCCTAAAACTATCGTTGTTTTTCAAGATACAGTGACTGACAAAGTTACTAATATTGCTCGAAAATTTTATTCTCATTTTGTTGATGCAGGGGAAGATGATGGGAGAACATTTGTTTCTAAAAGTGCTCCAATCAAAACTGCGGCTGTAATTTTTTTCTTTTTAAGGGTTTTGTAACAAAGAAAATTTCGTGCATTTTCTTGCTGCATTTTGATTATCTTTTATTGTGCTAGATCTTATAAAGCAAGAAAGGTTAATTAATCCCTCTATCACCAAAAATTTTTGTGCATGTGATACTCTCATGCAATGGAGCCAAAATACTTGTTGCATCCTAATTTTAAGTGCAGGGGCTTTACATAAGAGTACGTGTCATATCAGTAATATCAGATATTTAATCCAAAATATTGATCCTACAGGTAGTGAGCCAATTAGTCTTAAGAGAAATTCTAGCCTACTAGGTTTAGTTCATAGCTTGAAATCAAAAGTAACAGTTCTACAAAGTACTCCGACTGAGTTGCAATCTAGTTTAAAGTTTAACTCCCTCATAAATCTTGCTTATCAGTATTTGTTTAGAGATTATCAAATTATAAAACTACCTTCCCTTGTAATGTCTTAAGTGGTAATGTAGAAAATGTAAAGTGATAATTGTAAATGTGGCAAGTGACAAATAGGAAAAACTCTCTTCTTTACCCTCTCGCGAGTGTATAAAAAACTTTAGTTAAGTTGATTTTAGTTCCTTAAACCCCAACTTGAAACCATCAAAGATTATATCCCTAACATTTGCATCTCTATATAAAGTAATTGCTTCATACTCTATAGAAAAATGTGAATAACCTAGTGTTCTACCATAGCTCTCCCGAGTCATACTAAATCACAACATTTTAACTAATCACTTGGCTAAAATGTAAAGTAAATGAAATTTAAAAGTTTATTCATCACGTTCAAGATTAAAAACCACTTTTAAAACACTTTATATTCCTACATAACCTACTAAACCATCACAAGTAAAAGGTAAAAACACTACTCAGAAAGCATTGAGAAAACAACACAATACTTCTTTGAAAACAAGTAAATCAACTATAGAATTATATTTACAAAAATACAAATACAAGGGTGCACAATACTCAAACTTTCCCATCTCTTCAAAGTGCAAAAAATGATTCCCCCAAGGATCTTCAAGTCCCCTTGCTGCTTTCCTCAAACCTCTCCTCACTTTAGAATTAAAAATCTTTCCAAAAGCCTCACAAAAAGAACCCTAATCTATCCTAAAACAAAGAACATACTATAGACTTCTACCAACAATCAAAAGACCCATTTTCCTTCTCCAAATGACCCGTATATCAGACTGCATAACTCCCACGATGTGTTAACAAACTGTTGTAAACCACCCAGATAATTTCTAGCTCTCAGGTGTCAATGGGATAGAGCATAGGTGTTAGACTCTATGCATGCAAGTTCTGATAGTGGCACCTATGCACCCAAAAATTTGGCGTCAAGGCACTTGGTAGTGGTGCCTTGGCGCCACTTGGCTAGCGCTTAGGCGCGAACCTCGTTGTCTCCCTCATTGAGACTGGCGTCTATTGATCCACTTTAAAATTACCTAATTTTATACTCAATTTAATAGAATATTATGTTTTAATGAAGGATATTTTTAAGTTTTTTTGTTGTAGGTGCAAGAAAAAGAGTTTATGAGCAAAAAGGAGTAAAAAACAACAAAAAGTAGCAAAATGGGCTAAATTAAGGAAAAGTATCAAACCAGCCGAACTGGCGCTTAGGCGCCAGATGCAGAAATTGGTTGGCGCCTAGGCACCATGGTTATTTTCTAGAAGATTCATTAAATGAGGCTGAATTTTGAAGAGCTGTCTGAAACATCGCTTGGTCATTTTCGAAGCTTTATAAATATGGATTAATTTCAAGAGGCTAAGAGAGTAAGGTTTATTGAGTCTCATAGTGTGTGAGAAGTTTTCTTTGTGAGTTTTTATTATTTCTGGAATTTGCGAGTCTTGTACGTGCTATTGAAGTTAGAGAAGTAAGGGAACTTCAAAAAAGTGCTTAGGGGAACATTTTAGATAAGTATTTGTATCTTTATCCTTATGTTTTATCCTTTGGATTGAAGTTTTATAAATATATTTTTCTTTCCCATGCTTTTTGAGTAGTTTTTTTCTTTCTCCTTACAATATGTTGTAATTAAGTAAGTGATCTTGATTTTGTTTAGAACTTCTTCTATTCCTAAAAATTGTGATGATATTTTTACCGATCCTTCAATTACTTTACAAATTGGCCACTTGTATTGTTAAAACCTGTTGAGGAACTTATAGTCCCGAAAGGGCTAAGATTTCATGACTTCTAAGT